ATTTCCTGGGAGCTCGGGCATGGGGCCAGGTTGCTGCAGCCCTGGGGAGGCCTCTGGCCAAAGAGGCGTTGTCCGAGCGGACTGGGAGACACACACGAGTGGGTTTCTCCTGCTGGGCCACACAAAAGGGCCTGGGTGTTTATCAGTGCAAGTTCTTCGTCAGCAATGGAATCGCTTTCCACCAGCAAAGTGTCCTTGGCTTTCCCCAGTGCGGTTGTCTTCTGAGGAGAAGCTGAAGCTCTGGTTCCCAGTCGTGCTCCGTGGGCAGTGCCGCACCTCCGAGGTGGACGGAACGCCTTCTGTGCCGCGCGAGAGACAGAAGTGCAGACAGGGCTGACAGGCGGGGGTGCAGGCAGGCGGCTCAGGAAATCCAAGGCCCTTCTCTTTCTGGCCGTCTTCGGGTCACTGCCGCCGTCCTCAACTCCCCCACAGGATGTCGCAGTCTTCTGGGCAGAGACGGGCATAGGAAGAGACGTCCCTTTTGACTACAAAGTGAGAGAAAGTTGGACAATCCCATGAGCACAAGGCAGCTAATAAAACCACAGTAAGAAGGAGCCCGTGACAACTGTTTGCTACAGCTACCTCTGAAATGAAATCAAGCAAACTCGTCACCAGGTATCTCCAGTCACACACCACACACATCCATCCTTCTTCAGGAATATCCAGTCACACAACACATGTTCTCACCCCTCAAGGCCTAGAGACGTTGACACCTCTGTCCAGAAAAAAACCTTTTTTTGCACCAGACAACAAGAAAATGAGAATCACAAAAGAAAAAGGAGGATAGACTCTCATCAAAACAAATGACACAAGGAGGCCTGGTGGATCTGCCGATTCACCACCGTGCCTCTCACCACAAGGTGGAGGTTTGCACCCACCAGTCCACAAGAGAAGGGGAAGCTGCCTGCCCAGTTCCTGCTCCGGGACACTGGCTAACTGTGCGGCTGCCTGCTTTCCTCTAGCCCTCCGACCCCAGAGACTGCGGGAGGGGTCAGCGAGGAAACACAGCAAGGGGGGCTGCCTGAGAAGGGGAATCAGTCCACTGAGCTTGATTCGTAGTCAGTGGCCACAGTATCTGCTGTTTGAAGAGGGAAACCGCTCATTGTATTGTACGAGGGGCTTGAAAAAAGTTGTGGAAGAAGGAAACGAAGAGTGGGATGTTCCCACAAACGGTTTGCGGCCTCCTTGCATGGAACAGCGCGGAGCGCACACGCGCGGTGGTGTAGTGGGAGTGTTGCTGGTAACACTGGGCTCCAGTGTTGCAGCCTTGCTGTTTCTATTGGGGGCCACACCCACCCAAGCACGCGGTCTCAGCCGACTTTAACCACACTTCCCTGTGCTCAGCAGGCAGAGACCACACGACTCACGAGAAATGAGTGCTGGGCACTGGGGGCCGAGGGGCCTTTTGATGGGGTGGACCACTCGGGGCCCCTCGCTTCAAGGAGCAGCAGCAGCTTCTGCTTGGCCTCGCCGCACCACGCGCTGGCGTCCTAGGGAAGCAAATGGAGAGTGCTGCGCACATACGGCAGAACTGCCCACCATGTTTCCTGAGAGGGTCTGCAGGGAGTCAGGACGGAAACAACACGTCAACCTGAGCCAAACAAAGAAGCCCCCACACCTGAGGGCAACTGTCCATCGGCAGACCTGGTGGCCAGGACTTGGGGGTTAAAGTTGCCGGACGGGGCTCTGGTGGCACAGTGGGTAAGGGTCAGCTGCTGGCCACAGGATCAATGGCTCAAACCCACCAGCCACTGCAGGACAAGACCATCTGCTTCCATAAGATGGACAGCCTCGGACCCCGTGGGCAGGGGCAGCTCTACTCCGTCTGCAGGACGGCTGTGAGTGGGAATGGCTCCACACAGCGGGGCTTCCTCTCTGGGCGCAGCTGCACATCACTGAGGAGCCAGCTTGCAGCAGTCAGACGGTGGGGGTGGGGAGTGCTGCTTCCCAGACCGGGCACCCTCTCTGCTAAGTGCCTCAGGCTACGATGGCCTATTGTACAAGGTGCTCCTAAAAGGTCGTGGAAGTGGGATTCTCCCAGTCCTTTTTAAAGCCCCTTTTGTGTATCAATGCAATGTGAGACGCAGGCTGGATCCAGGGGACTAAGTAGTGTCAGAGCAAAGATGGGTCAGAAGTGGTCTGGAGTCCTGGCTGGAGTCCAGTGAAGTCCTGTGCTCAACTTCCCAGGCTCTGCACCGTCAGCTGCTCTGTGCCTAGCTGCCAGCTCCACTGGCCCTCGCACATCCCCACCCAGGACCCTGTCTACCACAGCTCTCAGTTTCCATGGAATCATGGCCAACAGGGACAGGAGCAGGCCTCCCTCAGAGACATGGCCCACTACCCAGGCTTCAGAGCCACTACCTCAACCTCTGTCCAGACAGAAGTCCCGACAGGTGCGGTCACGCAATGCTCACCTCCACGGCGGCTTGCATCCTGTGGGATGCTTCCTGGAAGTGACTCTCCTTTGGGTTGGCAGAAAATGTGGAAAACTCGCCAGCAAATAAAGTTGGGATTCTCAACTTGGATTCTGGTCGCCATTGGAGGTTGCTGGCAGCGATCAATATGGGTGGCTTAATGGTGTCTTCGTTAAGGTCGACCCAGAACTTTATCGCCAACAGGTTATGGTGCTCATCGGACACATAGACCATGGGGGCAAGACCTAGGTGGGGACAGACATGGTGTCCCATTACAAATGTGCTGGATGGTTTTAGCCACGCCTGCAGGTGACAAACACACGAACAGAAGGCAGAGAAACCACCAGCAGTGTGCATGGACAGCACTCTCCCTCACAGCCTGCAGGGGATCCGTGGCAGCCCCTCACCATCCACACGTGCGCTCACCTCTCCAGCCAGCAGTGCGTCCTCGGGACTCTACTAACTTCAAGGCAGGTCAGTGGTTACTTGAGGGAGAAAGTCAAGGCAGTCTACTCCCATAAAGAGTTACAGTCTTGGGGGAGGGGGTGCAGTGGTGGCAGGGGGAAGAGAAGACAATGTCAAGGAGTCCACGTGGAAAAGAAATGTCTGGAAACTGATAGTGGGAGAAAATGTACAATTCTCCTGGATGTGAATGAACTGTGCAATGATGTATGTGTAAATTCCTAATGAAGAATAACAACAGGGTTGCTATGAGCTAGAATCCATTTGACACAGTCGGGTGGGTAACAGGCCCTGAATTGTCCTAGTACTCTACAAGGAGGCCTACAAAGTTGGTGGAGAAATGGAATGAAAAGAGAATGGCTTCCCTCCCAGGAACTCTCAAAGCCCTCGGATCAGTCCGTCAAGGCAGCTATTTGTCCTGCGTGTGCTCTCTCTGCCCCACAAGGTACGCTCCGGGCGGGGGACTGCCGTCTGCTGTGTTCAGTCACGCACCCAGCACTTAGAAGAGTGCCTGTACTCACAAGCGCAGACAAACATTGGTTAGACAGAAGTCACATTCGCAGTTTCAGTGGTGAGAGCACCAAGCTGCGAATCAAAAGGTCAGTGGTTCAAACCCATCAGCTACTTCACGGGGAAGAGGCATGGCCGTCTGCTTCTGTGCTGTGTTCCACCTTGGAAACCCGTGAGGGAGTCTACTCTGCCCGCGGGGGGCCCCTGTGAATCGAAATTGATTAAATGACAGTGGGTTACCCTACACATGCGCTATAGAGACTAGGAGGGGCTTCAAACAGTTCATGGAAAAATTCCATTATCGTTCATTTCCATTTTCCCATGAACCGTTTGAAGCCCCCGCGTGGATCTCATACATGCAATGTCACTCACACATGGAGGGTCACACAAGTGTCAGACACATGCGCAGGGATGTGCCAAGGCAACAAGGCAGCACCGGCGCACACGGCAGCCCGGGCACACATGAGCAAGGAAAGCCGGTCCTTGAGCAAGTCGACCCTGGCTCTGGTGGCCCTGGTCAGAGGAGGACCACGCCCCACAGGGTCTCAGTGCTGCTTGGGGAAGCCGCTAGTCAGGCCTTTCTTCCAATGCCTCTCTGGGTGGATCTGAGTCACCCCTCTAGGTTCGCAGCCAAGTGTCTGTGCCATCCAGGAACTCCTAGCTGAACGTCAGGAAGTAACATGGAGAGGCCATGCACTTCCAAGGAATGAGGAGGGGTGATGGCACACAGCAGGCGTTACCTGTCGTTTTTACCACAGAAACCACAAATCCCATGAGGTCCACCTCAGAGCAAGGGGGCTGGAAGTTGGGGTCCAACAACCGGTGGAAGTCGAGGGGCTCGCGTGGCTGGTACACCTGGGACAGGATCTCCTCTGAAGCCTACAGGACAGACAGACAGAGTTGTAAGGAAGTGCAGGCTCCGCAGACAAGCGTGCGTTCGCTGGGAGAGAAGAGGGGCGACCGGCAGGTGTACCGGCAAAGGCTGATATTGGGTCTTCTTGGTGGCTGTCAGCTGCACGGTGCCCTTCCCGGCTTTCCTCTTGGCTGCTGCCACCGTGAGATGGAAGATGCGGCACCGTGTACCCTCGGTCAGCATGGAGAACAGCTCTGACGATGGGCGCCAGACACTCAGCACAACTGCTCAATGGACACACGAGAGAACCAGCCGATACTTGTCGGTCACAGTACTCGTCCAAAGTGGCAGGTCTCCTCGCAGCACAGCAAGGACCGTGCTGTCACTTGGGGGACACACTCAGAACCTCACAATCTCACTAGCATTTGTAATCACCTTATTCACAGGAAAGGCATTTAACTTAATAAAACTGATAAACAAGTTCACACTGACCCGAGTCCTTTTCTTTCTTCTGATAGTTGGTGACCCGCAGCTTCCACATGGTGGTGACGTCCCTCGATAAGTCCTGTACCTCAGCCTCCACCGACTCCACGGCCCTCTGGAACTCCAGCTGGACCTGTGCCTGCCTCTTGTCGCTCAGCAGCTGCCTGTGGGCGCTCAAGGCTCTGCGCTGCTCGTCACTCAAGTGACCCTGTAGCAAAGTATGCAGGTGGCAGTGCTGGGATGCCCGCAAACAGAACCCAACAGGTGTCTTGGCGATGGGCTCGGCTCATAGTAAAGGAGGAGCAGACATACAGAACTGAGCTCACTGGAAAGGCTGCCAAGTAAAAAGATCTCAGCATCTCAAACAGAAGCACTGAGCTTAAATGTTTACCATACTGCCCAACGGATGCTCATAGGTACCTTAAACTGTCCACTGATCCTTGGGACACACTTCCCTAGGGTCAACAAACCAATGGCCCCGCCTGCTGGCACGCTGGTTCTGACTCAGGTGGCTGTCGGACAGAGCAGAGTTGCTCCATGGGGGTCCCAGGCTGCCTTCTTTCCAGGAGCTGGTGGGCACTCAGCACGGACCACGATGGCTGTCATTCTGGGGGCACTGGCTCTAAACGTGCCCCCAGGGCTCCAGGCCAGTGTCTGCTGTTGACTGTCACTGGAGTCAGTTCTGACTCTTACTCTGTAGTCACTTTTCCAGAAAGCTAAGCTGTCTGCTGCTAAGACTTGCCGAGTCATCAAATAAATGAAATCAACACCAAACGAAAACCGAAGGAAACCTGCTGCCCTCGAGTTGATTCGGGTTTCTGAGACTCAGTCTTTCTTTGAGCAGACAGAGAGTCTGCTTAGAGTGGCTGGTGGGTTTGAACTTCCAACCTCCTGGTAGTCGGCAGCCCAATGTCTAACCATAGTGCCAACAGGGTGCCTTTATTTTTCCTAAAATACTTCCCGTCTGTCTAGCAAACTAAGAGCAGGATTTTCATTACTTAAATTAGATACTCAGTTCGAAACAGGTGAGAGACAGGCAGTGAGCAAGCTGGGAATAGAAAGCCCCCTGGTGAAGCTGAAGGCCACCTGCAGATGAGCCACCCCTGCTGCACCCTATCCCACTACCCACCACAGGTCCATCCGACAGGACATGCTTCTTTCAGCAGCAAGAAGCCGAATCAGTGACCCTTTCTGCAAGCTGTCCTTCAGAGGGAGCTGGCCAGAGCCTAACTTTGGGCACACAAAGGAGAAATGACCTTGTCCCCCAGCTGCCCCAAGTGATGGAACTCATGGTCAAGGAACCAAAATTTGCAGGAATTCTGTGCTATTTGGACCTACTTCCAATGCCAAAGGTCTGAGGCCCCATCGGGCCAAGATCTAACCCAGCTCCTAATGAAAACCACAACACCTCCTAGAGAAGCATCCTTTCCTACAAATATGTTGTGACTGCGCACAAATTCTTAATTCTCAACTTTCCTGTAAGTGCCTCCTCATCTCTCTGGGAGAGGCCGTCTCCTTTACCAAGGAAAAATCTCGCCAGCTCCCTGCTAGCAGAGGAAACCTGCTGGCACGTGCTTCATAGGGTGCGTGCCATCTCTGTGATCAGGAGACAAGAGGACTGCTTGACTCTGTGGGAAGCTGCCCAAGGGACTGCCCCCTGCCCAGTAACAAGATGCCTAAAATTTTATTTTAGGTGGTAGTTTATCTTAATCTATGGAATAATGCTCTGATACAGTGACTAATATTTACATGGAACTTAAAAAAAACAAAACATTTTATTGGGGCTCTTAACAGTTCGTATAACATTCCATACATCAACTGCATCAAACACATTTGTACATATGTTGCCATCATTTCCAAAACATTTTCTATTTAAGCCTTGGTATCAGCTCCTCTTTTTTATTCCTCCCTTCCCCACCCTCGTGAATCATTGATCATTTATATATTATTATTATTCTGTATCTTACACTGGCTGATGTATCCCTTCACCCACATTTCTGTTATTCATCCCCTTTGGGGAGTATGGAACACAGTGGGGCGTGCACTATACACCCAACTTTGTGATGGGTTCCCCTTTCTCCTCCTTCTTCCTCCCCAACCAACCCCCTACCCTCAGTACATCAGTACTCCCACAACTGCTCCTGAGGGGTTTATCTGTCCTGAATTCCATGTGTGGAGGGCTCTTATCTGTCC